TAATAATTCTTCTGCCTTATCACTGGATTCATGAAATTCTCCGGCTGGCTGCTCATGAGAAGGTTTATCAACTGCCTCGACTCAACCAAACAGCCCCTAAAGCTCCCTCCGGCCGCCGTCATTATAAACCTCGTGCAGACCGGTCGAGTGAAACCTCTCGTCCGCAAAAGACTACAAGGCCTTCAAATCGTTATTAATGCCCGTGACAGCTTTCACATTGAATCTCTTAACACTGTCGCTTAAGAAAACCCCCACTATAGTACTCGAGATATGATCCAAAGCTCCACTCCAGACTTTATACAAAGCGTCGAGTGATAAGATCTGCTGAGCTGACGACATGACCATGTCGAGATATATGATGACCTCGTTTATGTACTCGTTCCCGTGTTGAGAAATCTCGCCCGAAGTCCAGTTTACGCTCTCGGTCAACTTCATGCACTCGTCGAGTTTTGAGTTGACCAGGTTCAAGAGAGCGAGATACGCCTCGTCCCTCGATGTTTTTAAGACAATCTTGGCCGTTAATCCATTTTGCGGCCGATCGATCGAGCGAACGGGAATTCCACACTGTTGAGCCGTGTGCTGGAGAAGATAATCGCACGCCTTTTCCAAAACGGGCGATGTTAGCCGCTATCTGCATGGCTTGAGATACGCCCGTTTTCCCACTGGTGGGACTCGAGAAAGGCTGCGTCGAAGAGATCTGCAAATTGGACTTCAGCTGCAAGAACCGGTTATTATAGTAATAATCGCGAAACTCGTCCGGTATCCCGAGGCAGTCGTGAATGTGATAAGCTCGGTAAAGGGGAGTGAGATCGAATTTCAAAACCGAGCTCTCGTCGATTTCCTCAACATCGAGCGTATAGCTCAAATCTCGAGGCCCAAACAGCTCTGCTCTTCGGCTTTCCTTTGACAGGCATGTCTTCCTCTCGCTAGCGAGCAGCCGAGGCGTAACCGATTGCAGTTTGGCCGATATCCTTAGCGTCGCTCCTTATGTGACCTAACCACTCGTTCACCTCACTGCAAACATGATGTGGGATTTTAAAATAGGTATCTGTTTTTCGATAAGAATCTTTAAAGCTCGGACAGGAATATTATTCTGAAGGCAATTTTTCTCGATTAGATCGACGGCTTTGAGGGCCGGGTAAAACCGGCCTTCCGAGACGTGCCCATTACACTTCACGCACAAATCGAGGATCTGAATGCAATTTTTCGACATCTTAATGACCTCGGTTATGTTGTTCTTGATCGAGTAGGATTCGAGAAGCTCCTCGAGTTTGGAGAGTAGAGAAGTACCGACTTGCTATAAACTAAAATTATCGCTCGAGAGCTCGGATTTGAGCTCTTCGGCATCGACCAGCACGTCGCGTAGCTCGTCGACTGCAATTATGATTTTCTCGTTTCGCTTGCAGAGCTCCTCAATCTCAACTTCTTTTTTCTTGACGAGGCCTTTGAGCTGGTAGAGGAGGGATTCGGGTCGGCCCGTTTCGAAGGCGAGACGGACCATAGGCCCAAGGCCCTCGCCATTGCTAACCATAGTGGCTAGGACAGAGTCTTCGCCAGTGTCACCACCATTATCGGCCACGGCTTCCTTCTTGGTTTTCGAGCTCATTTTGGTGTCTTTTTCGAAGTTCTCACAGTATGGAGACAATCTATGGATTTGATACTGTAAACAATCACAAGGAGATTCTTGAAATTAATTAACATACAGCTTAAAAATGGAAAGCATAACAATGGAAGTTGATAATAAAAGGAGGAATTTGTAGCTATAATTCTACAATTGCTTCCTTACTGAAGGTTGATAATAAATCAGAACAATGGATATAGCATGAAAACAACATCAATAGCACCAACAACGGTTTGATTTTCGGTTCCACTTTACTTTGAGTTGAGCAACCGAGCTGTAGTTTGCCGCTCATCATTTTGATTAGCGAGTAAAGGACCGAATTGTGGTTACTCATTTTGTTCTTGTCTGCCGTGAGACAGTCGATGTAAAATCAGTTTTGATCTATAAAATTTATTTACTATAAAAAAAAAAATAGCACCAAATTATTGGTATGCATAGCAGCTCACTTTTGGGATCTGTTCCTTTTTTTCCCCAAATTATTGAAATTTTTTAAATCCAACGAAGATGAAAAACATAAAGGAGAAAAAAAAAAAAACAGCACAAATACACATAATTCATATGGCAAAAAGGCAGCTAATTTACATCTTTTTATTCTTTATGTTGCCATTACATATTTACGTGTGGAGTTCCAGCTTTAACGAGCCAGTCCAGAGCTTTACCAAGTCGAAGTATATACAATTATATAAAAAATTTCTTTTCGAACCTTATCGAGTCGAGTCGAGCGCGGCTCATTAACCAATCAAGTTTTAAATAAAGACCGAGCAGAACTCAAATTTTAACGAGCCGAGCCAAGCACGTTTAATTTAACAACAATAATGTTTGTCAACATAAGCACATGAACAGCAACCTGTAAATAAGTTGATTTTCACCGAGTATTTCATGCAGGTAAAAAGGTTTACAGAATTACCATACGCTCATTTATCAATTACAGTCAAATACACAAAGCAAAGCAGCATCAGTCACAACTCACAAGTCCAATAAGTAAAAATTCATGATGGTTAAATTTCAATTATACCTAGTAAGTAAAATTATTTCAGCCAGTACTTTCAAGTTCAACTCCTAAACCAAATCTAAGTAGTCACCAAATGATGTGGGGACCCCTTAAATGGGAGCCCACATGAGTACGTAACGTACTTAACGCTGTCGATCAACACGACCACAAATATCCGAGAAAGGGACTTTGATTTGATCACGCCGTCCACGTCAGCATCACCACCGACCTCTCGAGGATCGACAAGAACAGAAACAACCATCGGCGAGACAGAATTATTTCCATTCAATCCTTGTTCGTGTGGGTTTTTTTCTCCTGAGCTTCGTTTAGAAATATTGTGAGTGGATTCGGAATGTGTAATAGGGAGGCCACGAAGGATTCTTCGGTTCCTAGCGGCCCGGGTAAGTTGAGTGGAATTACGGTTATGCCCTTGGGTTATGTTCTGTGTGGCTGGGACTATGGCTCCTGAAGCTGAAGAAATATCAAACTGGAAAACTTCGGTACACATGCCGGTGCTCAACATTGGCCCTGAAACAATTGAGTGATGATAAGAGTAGAAAACCTCGTGTCTATAAAGGCAAGTATAGTTCCTGACTCACTAGCCAAGTCAAACAGATCATCAATTGCAATAAGGTATAGACTAATATTCAGCTAGAAAAACAAGCAATGACTATATGTATTCGTCAATTAAATAATGTGAGAGAAGAGTGCAGATAATCCACGAGAACCAACACGACAATCATCAATTGCAATAAGTTGTAGACTTAATGTTCAGCTAGAGAAACGAGCAATGACTATGGTTGTGCTTGGTAAGCATATAAGCTAGCTTATAGCTTATTTGATTAACTTATAAGTTTCATGTATTCAAATAAGCTTGGTTAAATAGGGCAAAAAGCTCAAGCTTATCTCATAATCTTCCTTGATCAAATAAACCCATTGAAATTTTTACCAAACACTTCTACCATATAAGCTACCTTTTCAGCCATAAGTCATAAGTTATGAGCTATAAGCTCGAAATTCACTTAAAAAGCTATAAGCTAGCTGAAAAGTTTACCAAACAGCCCATATGTATTCATCAATAAATAATGTGATAAAAGAATGCAAGATAATCACGAAAACCAACCCTTTAAAAAAGGAAACTAACCCTTAGCTTCTATTATTTTCTTAAGAAGCCGAACAAAACAAGCACATACCCCTTAAAGAACCCAGAGATTCATTTCCTAGACGACATGACACAGCTCTTTTTCGACAGGGTGCAAATTTATAACCTTCTTATATATAATTTGCTCTCACTCATATTGCATTCAAAAGACTCAAAGACATGACAAAAAGAATAAAATAATAACAAATAACAATAATAATAATTACCAGCAAGCCCCTCCTGGAACCACTGTTGTATCTTGCCATCAGTTGCGCTCAGCTTCCTCCCGACCCTGTCTGCCGAGCCAGACCCAATAGCCCTAAGCTCTGGAACACGAACAGTGGGACCCAACGCTCCACGAACTGCAAGAGCAGTGTCTCCACTAGAAGAAACGGCCCTCTCGCTCGCCAGCACTGAATGTATAATCAGATTGCCATCTATCTTCACAAGTTTATCATTTCTCGGGACATACAGTGACGCAACAAGTGGTTCAGTCCCATTATCACGACTCCTGGTTCCATTCACCATCAAAACCCTCCCATTATGATGTTCCTCAAAAACCCCATCAGAACTTCCCCCGATAGTCAATGAATCCCTCACTCCTCCATATCTCACGTTGAAAATCGGGACCAAGCACCCAAACAGCATGAAGAAAAAGAGTATACCCAGGAAACTAACACTAGCAACCTTCTTAGTCTTTGTTGGCCGTTCGCCTTTCTTGTTCTCCACCTTCTTGGTGGCCTTCGGCGGCACTTGAACCGGCTGCTGTGGCTTCAACCTTGGGATCGGCACTAAGGGAACTTGAGATCCTTGCTTTGTCACATAAGGCGGGCAAGGCATCCATGGATACATCATCATGGCCGGAGGAGGATACATTCCGGGAGGTGGAGCCGAAACATTGCCGCCCATTTGTTGCCGCAAAGTGGTGTTTTCGGCCATAAAGTAAGCTACTTTCGTGTTCAAGTCTTGAATGGTAGACTGCATCGTCTTCACTTTCTCCTCCAACTCCTCAACATAGTGTTTTTTCCTCTGTCTCGATAGCTGTGCACTCTCCCTGTTCCTCATCAACCTCGTCTTCCTTTTCTCATCTTCTTCGCTTAACACACCATTGCTGTTGCTGCTGTTGCTGTTCTCGGGATTCTCACTGTCCTTTTTCCTTTTCAACGAGGAGCTACGGATTTTCATTTTCGAAAGCTCCTCCGACTTGGCCTTCTGATTGGCCATAACAGTTTTATGGGACATGGAATTATTATTAGGGTTGGGAGAGAAATCCACTGATCGGTTAATGCAATTTTTTGACTCCTTGGAAACATTAGAACCGCAAATGTCCGAACCCCTAGATTCAGGGGAGGGCCAACTCGTCACTTTCACGTCATCGCTGCAATTCTCTGGGGTTTCGTGATTTGATCCGTTCGATTCGGGCGACGGCACACTCAGATGAGGCTCCAATCCAGGTGAACCGGAATTCGAAATTCCGGCGTCATCCGAGCTAATATCGCCCAAATTACAGCCCTCGCCGAGAATATGGACTGGAAACTGATCCACATGCGGAGCGAGTTCCTGAATTTGGGAGGGGTTAAGGAGGTCGTCGAGCTCATCGGGAGAAGGAAGGTAGAGATCATCGAAGGAGAAATCGAAATCGAAGTCATCGACGACGGCGTCGTTTTGGCCGTCGCCTTGAGCGAAGAAATCGGTGTCCAAGGGTGGCACTGAGAGCCCCAAGTCGTAGTCGTCGGTCGTAAGCGGCGGATGATCGACGGCGATCACCGTCGTGTCGGCCATTTTTATTCCGTCGTCAGGGAGAATTGAAAGAGAGACGATATCCAGGTCGTTTAGGGCTCTAAGAAAAGGAAAATTAATTCGTATGGGTTATTGATCATTCGAGAAGAGAAAGAAATAAAGGCGTGTTTGGCAATAGTCTCTTGTTTGACAAATATGATAAGCCAACTTCATATACACGTTAAAAAAATACTATCAACAACTACTTTATACGAAATATAGCAATATTAAAAAAGTAATAGTTATTATATTTCTTTAATTTGAATGAACAAATAAAAAACTACAAATTATTTGTAATATTATTTAATTTGAATCATTTTAATTAAACATTAGAGTGATTAATATTATGTACAACTAAATAGTTTATATCATTCCCCGGGCAAAATAGTACAAACTTTATGTAGTATCTATTTTCTTAAATTAAAATATAAATATATATGTGCTTTTATTTTTATTGTGGATAATTAGTTATTTATTATATTTTCTCATTAAGTAGTTGTTAAGTAGAAATAATAATTTTCGTTTTAAGTAGTTTTTAAGTTTTTTTATTAGAAAATATATTATTTTTTTATTTGTTATGTATAGGATGTTGGCTCCATTATGGAGTCAATTATTGGTTCCATAGCAAAACTCGTGACAATAGGATGGCTAATTGACTTTGTTTTGATGTTAGCGGATTGAAATTCATTTTCAGGTTTGGCGGTAGGATAGCTAATTGACTCTATTTTGACGTTAGCCAATTGAAATTCATTTTATTTTATTTATTTATTTTTATTTTTGAAATGATAGGGAATTCATTTAACAAATAGGCTTATTTACAACCCGGGAGACTAAATAGCCTCACAACAAATTAAGGGAGAGCACCGAACAAAAGTCGACCTAAAATCAAAAACCAACAACAACAATTTGAAGGCAAGAACTTAACTTGAGTCCTTCAAGAACTTAACTTATTATCATTTTAAGGTTTGACGGATCAAATTTTCAGTTAGTTTGTTAAGTAGAGAGATTATTTTATTGGATTTTTTTAGTAAAAAATGCTAAGTCTGAAAAACTCGCTATATGAATGTTATGAAATGAGATGATTCATATAATAACATGCGGAATAATTTAATTTTTTTTAGCCAAAAAAGCTAATTTAAAAAAAAAAATCAAGTATATGAGCTTTCTGAAAAGATAATGTGAACATAAGATTTATAAAATAATTATGCAATACGCTATTTACTAAACATTATTTATAAATTTGCTAATACAACCACCTATCAATTATTCGTTAAAAGCTAGTAGCCAAACTCGGTGTCGTATTAGTGAATAACAAAATTGTATTGGTTTGAGCAACGAATTCAATTGGATGTATTTGGTAAGCATCGTAAACTAGTTTATAACTTATTTGGTTAGTTTATAAGTTTTATGTACTCAAATGAGTTTGGTCTTATATAGACGATTTTTTTCAAGCTCAATCTTATCGTATAAGCTTCATGAGTAGCTTTTCAAATATATTTTTTGAAAATAATATTTCAGCTGGCCTATCAGCTCATTTTGTCAAACACTTTTATCATATCAGGTAGTTTTTCACTCATAAGTCATAAACTATCAACTATAAACTTAAAATACACTTATAAACTATTAACTAATTTATCAGTTTTTAACTAACTTATCAACTAGATTTATCAAACATAATCTTAGTGGTTTGTCAAAACATTTGCTAAACAATGGAAATCTATAACCATTCTGTCGTATTGCCTATTTTTTTTTTTATCATTTAACTTGTTTCAAACTCAACTCATTTACAAAATTGTGTGAGTGCCAAATAATGTAGAAAATTGTGTTTAAGCTCTGGGATTATGATGTCCAAATTCCAGAAACTTCTCACAACAACTACGCGTTAACTTTTTTTTTTAAATAAATAAATATAATTTGACCAATGATTTTTTTTTTTTTTTTTTGGTCTTGAGTTTTTAACTTTCAACATTACTCATTGCATTGATAATTTAAAAATATATATTTTGATTCTCTACATATTTGCATATCACATAAGTTAGAAAATGGAGAATGAAATAATATTATTATTATTATGAAATCTCTTTAACCATTTTCAAAACATTTTTGTAAAATATATATAATTTTTTTTTGCTAGTATCATTAATTTATATTTTTTTTATTTAATTTTTGAAGTTGGATTAAGTTAACTACATTGTAAGGGCTTGTTTTACTTTTTCATTACACAATTAGCTTAATTTATCATTTGCCACTGAACTTTTTTTCCATGCACATTTTCGGTGTCTGATTTTTTATTTGATCACATTTACTTTTCTTGATAATATTTTTGTTATCTTTGACATTTTTCCTAAATTTAATTTGAACTTTGCTGGTATGAATTATGATGACTCTTTGTAGATTTCGCGTTATAATTTATGTTTTTATGCTCGATTATATTCGATAAATGTTTGTTTGTTAA